TGTATAATGAAAATGGGTTTTATTATACCTAGCGTGAAGAATGTGAGCACAAGGCAATGCTTCCAGGGAATCCGCTTCCAGTCCATAAGGAGATCCACATCCTCCACATTGCAGATCCAGGTCTTGTTGTAATCTAAACGCTACACGTTCGTGATGAAGCTTATTGTTCTCATCTCCCAGAGCGTGATATATCCTCGAAAGTCGTATCCTCACCGCCCGCACTAATAACTAAAAAAATATTGTTTAAAAATGATTCAGTTATAGATAAATTAAAAGAAGGTTTACAACATTAACCCTTCAATACTATATAGGGTATTTTAATATCCCACACAGTAGGGTATTTTAATATGCCACACAGTTGTTTTACTTAGACTTATGCCGTCTTCTGTATTATTTAACCGTAGTGTGTAGGTTTGCATGCTAGCAGATATTTGCTGTCCTCCATTCACGCAGTTGTGGAACTCTGAACTGTTCGAGAACGCGATACTCTTACTCCATTCAATTGAGTCCTAAAGTTCAGAACTGTTCCGCGCCATATGAAGGCACCAGGCTATTGCGCACCGTTCCTTTCAGAACCGTTCTCGAGTAGCCCAGGGCGTAAAGCACTGGAACTTGAAGTTCGCGAATGGAGGACAGCAATTCGCAATGATGTCACCAAAATTTAAGAAATGCATCTTTTAAACGTTGAGGAACCAACAAGAAGTAAATATAGTAAATATAATAATAGCAAATATTAGACCAGTGTTTACAAAATCAAATTCGATTATCAAAATATAAGTCATTTACGGCGGGCGTAGCGAGCCTTGTCTAGTAAATAAGACTTCAATGCTTAGCGAAATGAAGAAAATTATGTTATGGATTTGATTTCAAATGGCAGGTGATTGTGCATTTTTTTCGATTTGTATAATATTGAACTTTTAATTAACTCTGAGCGTGGGGTAGGTAGATAAAGATCTTGCTCCGCGTTTCTGAGTGGATAAGTGTGAGATGGCCTTTCTTGAGAAGCTGATACATGCTTACGTATTAGGCAAACGAATTCAAATATAAATAGGGAAGGAAGAGTTAATATTTTTTAGAAACGTCCTGGCAATGAGTTCTGCTGTTTAGCCCCAGTGAATATCGAACAGCTCTCTTCTGGAGCTTGAAAATGCGGTCAAATTGAGTCGCACAACACGCAACCCAGAATGGAAGGGCATATCTAAGGAAACTACAGGTAGCAAGATGCTCAATGGCACTAAATATACTGGAAATAACCAAGAAAGACCGTAAAAGAATAGAGTGGATACGACAAAAAACCTACGTAATAGATGTCATCCACAGAATCAAATCCCTCAAGTGGCAATAAAAAGGACACCTGGCAAGAAGGACGGACAACAGATGGACCACAAAAATTACAGCATAGTACCCATCAGGAATTAAGAGACCTACAAGAAGACAAAACATGATATTAGGAAATTAGCTTGGATAACTTGGGCTCGCATAACCAACAATAGACAACAATGGGTTCAATTACAAAGAGAGTATCTAAATATGTGAGGGAGGCGACACCAAAATTGGAAATGGTTGATTAAGCTGAAAATGATGAAGCTGATGATTGATGACAATATTAAGATGATCATTAAAATAAAACTGACATCGCAAATCTTTGTTTGTATTTTTATTTTTCACACAACTGTGTAATGTTATGATCTAAATGTTATTATCTACCTTTGCACCAACAGAACTAGCCACTTCCAGCAATCTAGTGTTAAATTCCAATGGTCTACAGTTGCATATTTTGTGTTGTAATCTTAAGGCTTCCAAGCATCTAGCTGCACCGTCCATGGACTCCATCTGAATCACTCTATCCCCCATAGCAGCTGCGGAACCCATCGCAGCTTCATATTGCCGAAATGCTTTCTAAAAATCAAAAAGAGAACATAGTTTATTGTTTTATTAGTAAAAATTATGTCGTTTTTGAAGTGAAGCTTCTTTAAGCGCGATGGGAGTAAAATTTCAAAGCCGTGACGCATGAGACGCGAGACGCGAGAGGAAAACTGGAAAAACGCGTCCCATCAATAAAAATTCGACAAATTTGCAAGTAGCCAATAAAATGAGTGGGCGGAGCGATTTGCGGTGACGCACTCGTCAAATCGACGTATAAAATATATTGCTGTTTATTTAAATGTTTTTTGTCCGAATTCCTTTCATAGACACAGATCCAGCAGATGTACTGTATGTTGATAGATTGAAAAAGTTCCTCAGAACCTACGACCGAGAAAAATCAAAGGTTTTCCTTGATATAAGTAAAAACAATCTTCGGATTGTCACGGGGTTTCTAACAGGACACTGTCTCCTCAACGAACACCTCAGTAAGCTGAAGCTGAGAATCAACGGCGAATGCAGATTCTATGGGGAAAATGGGGCAAAAACACCTGCTTATCACTGAATGCGCCGAGACGACGACCGTTCATGCCATGAACTTTGGTACAGTTGATGTCGAGGATAGAGAGTTGGCCTCTGTAGATCCGTCTCAGATATTGGTTTGTATTGTTGCGGACCCGTACCGTGTAACTCGGCCTTAGGCTTGGCCACTCGGCTATGCCTCATACGGCCACCAACGTTCGAAGAACGCCGCTAAGAATTTTCAAGATATATCTGGACTGTCTGTTTCTCTCATATATAAGCCGATGCTCGAAACCTGAAAGAGATAGAGATAAATAACCGATCGACGCGTACAGTTACAATCGCCGCGCTAATTCAAAATAAATTTCTGTTAGATAAATAATTAGATAAATTATAAATAAGTTATAAATAGTTCTTTAAGTCTTTTAATCGTTATTGTTTTTGTTAATTAGTGTTAAATAAATTGTGTTTAAATAAATTGTGACTTTCTATCCACACGGAACCGACGAAAAACGTAACAGTATTAAAGTCCTGAGACTGTGATGAGTTATAACTTGTTATAACTCAAGAAAGGGGAACACAAAATAGATCTGTAAGGCCGCAGTGATTAATTCCTCTCCTAAACATTCATCCATTCATGTCGATAGATTGGACCAAGGCCAACTTGACCGTGTACGACACGTGTCACTGTTTTACAACAGTTTTGACATAAGAAACGTCTCAAGTTGATGTCGTCCGATCGGGACCAAATTTGGTGGGTAGGCCATGCAAAGTTTGATATGACGCGACGTTTCGTTTACATCTTCATCAGGGTGGGACTAACGATTTGATATTGAAGAAAAATGTGGGTCGATTTCGGCATAATTGGGGACGGGCTACAGGATGACCGCCTCGACATTTCAAACCGATGCGTCTAAATGGACGAAATCATCATAATTTTTCTTAATTATGGGTCGATTGGAACTAAACTAGGCACGTGGATTGAGTGAATGGAGTGCTCAGACGGGCAGACGGACAGACAGACAGAAGCAAGAAGAAGTTTCACTTCAAATATGCGCACATAGTGCACACAATTTTTTTTTAAAACTTACATTAATATCTGATTTTTTCCTATAAATATCACCCATAATTCTAATACTCCTAGCGTACGTTGCTTGATCACCGGAAACTAAAGCCAGCCTTGTAGCCTCCTGTAGAATAATAGGTTATTAGTAATGATAAGATATTAATATAGAGAAAGACCTACCGAACAATAGTCGTGAGCATCTCCTAATTCCCCTTGTTTTCTTAAAGCCGACGCCATTTGTAGTAGAGCAGCCCTAAAAACAAAAAAAAAACATTTTTTACACGCCAATTTCTTACTGTCACACACATACGGAACTTCCTTTAGGAAGTTTAACTATGCTTTATTCCAGACACATACTTTCTAATATACAGGGAGTCACGATCGAAGCATCAGAAAACACCATTATAATAAGTAAAAAATATGTTTTATTAGGCCCATACTATGCCCATACTAAAATATGTTAATAAAAAGTTGGTAGTGTTGGTAGGCAGTTCTTTTAGTTTTAATTATCTCAAAAACTGCGACTTTGACCGATTTTGATGCTATTACAAATTTTGTTGCAAATATTATTCCTAATCTTAATTTGAAAACCGCGTTTCGCTAGCTACTGTAATTTTGGAGTTACGATTTTTTTAAAATTTTTAACCCTCTCCCATACCCCTTACCAACCCCCCACCCCCACCAAAAACTAATGGCCAGATTCTCGGGTGCCACAGTATTTTTGTGCTAAATTTAAAATTGGTTTAGCGGTTTTTGAGTTATCGTGTTACAGGCAGACGGACAGACAGACAGACAACATGAAAATATTTTGTATTTATGTCATTTATGACCCAAATAACTCGTTTTGAGTGAAATTAAAACAACTTTTTTTTGCCGATCTTAATAGCTTACCATACCTGTTGGTATGGTCGGCTAAAAAGATCCTATACCTACATTTCTGTCCTGAAATGCTTAGTTTTTGGAGATAGAGGTTCTAGAAGTTTCATTTTTATATAGTTGATATTTAGATGAAAATTTGTGTCTAGGTTTTTGTATACCAGGTGTTTCAAAAAACATGTGCCATCTTTCGTGGGGAGATTCCTCTGGTAAAAATAAGGTTTATTTTTCATAGCAATATAGGGTCCGATTCTACTTTGTTTCGTATCTACAGGAGGAACTACTTCTTAAAGTCTTTTTTTTTCGATTTATTATAATTTTCTTCCAAGTGCTTTCTAGCAATTCGAATGAAATTTTGAGGGTAAAAATTACTATAGTCTGTCCAACGAGAAGATCCTTGACAGTGATAGATGTGTCTGTCATTTTAATTTCAAAGTAGTTTATTTTATTTTACAAAGAAATAAGTTGGTACGC